CTGGTAATTTAAAAGAATATTAAGAGAATATATTGCCTATTTTATGTGACATAAAAACATCATATTTTAAGGATTTTAAGAGAATATAAATCCGACCTCTACAGATAATGTTCTCAATTTTAGGGCCACCAATTAATCAAGTTGATAAACTCCAGAATCCCTTGCTGATGTTGGGAAAACAAGTAATATATAGATAAATTAGATTTAAGATCAGAAATATCTAGGTATATGCGTGCATATTAACTTATTCAATAATCACCAACGATATACTTTTCTACAAAATATGTTTAAAATGTTTATTGCTAGATCCAATTATTTTATTGCGATACAATTTGTTTCTACTCAACAACCTTCGATATGAAAATTATAATAATATATTATAAATAAATACTTACTTAGAATTTTGGTTTTGGAAAATAAATCTAATACGTTCTCATTATAAATGCGAGCAGCCGCTGAATCGGTGCGATAGGATATTGTGATAAACACAGGCCGGAATAACGTAAGATATTATGCTTAGGTTTTGAGACTCCAGGTACAAAATAAAAAACATATAAATACTACCCCTCTGTGCTAGCATAAATATAAATATTATATTTATTATTTAATCGTGCCACAAAACAAGGATAGAAGAATACGACAGAATACGGTTCGCGACGTTCGCGTAGGACGCCAAAAATGATATTTATTGTATATCTTCTGCACGGTATCGCTGTCGAGTGTCGACTGTTATCAGTATTTGTCAGTAAATAATAAATAAATGATTTGATCAATTATTATTATTATTATGGTGACAGTTTGTCGGTTTAGACGTAGTGAACCTATAGAGTAAGTAAACACTAGTTACTATTATAGTATATACTATATAACTACATGGCTCTATGAGCGAACAGAACTACAGACTAGACATTTAAATTAAAAAATAAAGTTTTAGATCATCACCATATTATACACTTCAAGATTTAAGAAGCAAAAAAAAATCTTCGACTGGTTGAGTCACTGTTTTACTGGTTGTATATATAATATATTATATGAGACAGAAACAATTGGATAGATGAAAATGAAATGGYGAAAWTGCATGTGCATGAAATATTGAAAAATCATCGCGTTTATGACCTCGTAAAA